GGTGGCATTTTTTACATTATCCGAAGCATTCGATATATTTTTACATATATAGATATTCTTTATACACACAAGTGTTAAGATTATTTAAATTAGTGAGAGGAAATATTAAGTTGAGATGTAATTCACAGAATTTCTATATTTTTATCTACAGTCACTTTTTTGCAATGTTCTTCACAAATAATACTTTAAAGAAATAATTTGTATAAAGCTATTCATGAACTATTTCTTTTCATGTGTTTAGCAAATTTTTAAACAGGAATAGAATTGCTTCTGTAAAAAGAATAGAACATTGAAAAAGAAAAGTGATTATATATACAGTCGACTCTCGATAATACAAACCTCTCAATAATTTGAAGTACATGCTTAGTCCCTAGAAAACTCTTGATATTTCGAACTAAGAAAATACGTTTTGGTACACTCAATATTTCGAAGTAAAATCTGTTGCTGGCCAGACAACAAGCATGCTATATAATTCGAAGTTATCTTATAAAACTCTCGATAATTCGAACACTCACTGTCATCTGCAGTCTTGTAATAAATAGGGTGAAGCTTACAAGTTTTGCATTGTGTTGTCTCTGCTTTCTCCCGTGTAATGTAGCCCCTTTGATGACCTTCTGTCTGCTACCCCTTCTCACTGTTTTCCGATTCCTCAGGCAAAAATACACACTTTTATTGTTTTCATTACTTTCAGCGGACCTTTAATAGACCAACCGCACCTTTTATCAGCCTTCAATTTCTTTCGTTTAACACCTGGCCTTGCTACACATGTGCCCATAAAGGATTGTCCGCTGTTATGAAGAAGACATGCGTAGAATTGTGTATGAGAGAGAATGTATTCTTAACACAGGACTTTTAACTTCTGTAAAATATTTATACGGTATAATATCTACTTTTTAAAAATACTTTCAAATAATTTTATACATATGTACAATTGTTGTTTTATTACATAGTTTCAAATTTAAATGTGTTAGAAAAAAGTTTCTCTTCGTCTATTTTGGGAATTTTTTCTATCCTCTTAATAATTCGAAGTTCTTCATTGGTCCCTCGAACTTCGAATTATCGAGAGAGTCGACTATATATAAATATATATATATATTTATTTAAATTCAGTTTTGAATGCATTCTGAAGATACAAAATTAGTTGTTTTTTCTTTTGTCGGATTTCGTTTTTTAAAGATAAGTCTCATAAATTTTTTCTATCTTGGAGCAGTGAGATCCAGTTTTGGAAAGCTCAAGAATTGTGCACAGGTTCTTATCAGTGGCGAATGGTGTTTCAGTACACAAATCAATTCTGGACGAGTCTTCCTGGTAGTATCACCTGAAAAACTAGACAAGTTCCCGTAAGAGTTAGAACTTCATAAGGGGATTCGAGATATATTGCTTTAGTGAAATGACTTTATCAATTTAAGAGTTTTACGCAGGTGTCTCAAGAATTCTGGGTTGCAGATGATATAACAATGGTATGGAGAAATATCTGAATGTAAGTGTTCTTAAGCTCATCAATCAAAGGAATTTACTATCCCTTTCGCTATTTCCCAAACAGTTATTCTATGTTTTAGCAGTGAACATCCCTTCTGGAAAGAGCAAGAATTTCACTGGTCCTTATCAATGACAAATCGCAATTCAGCATACAAAGCAATTCTAGAAAAGTCTTCACCTTGAAGGAACATTCGAAAATTCTTTTAACCAGTAAATATCTAAGAAATCCATTGGTCTCGTGCTACTGGCATTCATGTACGAGACATTTGAAGCTAATACACCACACCATGTCTTCTCTGCTGGTACACTGAGAGCACAATACTATGGGAACTCCTTATTCAAGCTTACATGCAATTATTTTTGGCGAGTCACACAGGATTCATTTGATTTTACGTTACTTTATTTCCGTTTACTCAGAGGAGAGCTTGAAGACGATTACTGAAATAAAGAGAGTTTATTTCCTTTGCTGAGTTCAACATGTTCTGCAGACCTCAAACACACACGTGGAGCGAATATAGATAGCCATATTAAGAACAATTACAAATTGTCAACCAAATTAAAATGACCTTTCAGGAATTTTAATGATCTGAATTAGTTCAATTGAGATTATTTGCACAGTAATTGATCAAAAAAGCCCCTTTAAAAGTACGAGAGCATGCTGAAACGCTTCTGCAACGGAAGAACGCTTCTATATAACCCCTTATAATCCAAACTGTACACATTGATACTATATCTTGTTTCGACGAAGTTCAAACTCATCGGCATGTTAAACAACATTAAACTTTTACGCATTTTTTCCTATATTTTAAAAAATGTTTTCCTTACTTTAATTTTCACTTGGAAGCACAAATTTTGTAGTATATCGAAATTTAATGCATTGAAATTTAAGTGTTTCCATGTTATTGTCAACAAAGCATACAGTCTCAAGTATAAGTTCAATTTAAGACATCAAAGTAAATGTTTAGGATTTAGGTAATGGAAAAAGTAATTTTGGAGGCAGTATCAAAGCTATTCCAACTTCCCATCGTCGATTCCGTACTTTTCTGGTTATAACGTTCGCTTTACATTCGAAAGATTCCGTTTCATCCCGGGCAAAACCAAACGTAACACCAGTTTTATCGGGTAATCCAAAAATTAAGTTTCCTTTTTTTTTAAAATTAAAGGCAATTTTTATGTAGTGAAATATATATTTAATTAAATTATATATTGTCCATTCTAACCAGTACCTTTTTCCATCTTTCTGGCAAAATCATGATACCACGTTCATAAAATATCTGTTCTTACGTTGCAAAAAAACTAATCCAGGTGTTTTTTGACATGCTCATTTGAAATCAAGGTTTTAAAAAATAAAGGCCTAAAAGTATTTCGTAGAGATTGGAAAAAATAATAATCGAAAGGTGGCAGACCTGGAGTATGTGGTGGATGTGGCACCACATTCAAGCTATAAAAGCTTTTGGCAAGTTACCAAATTTGTATGAGATCTCGCCTCCTCTTTGTGGAACACTACAACTTTACTATTCATCTATTCTGGCCTTTTTTGCTAAAGTGTGTCCTACTGATGACAGTACACTTCTGAATTAATCGTTGCGTTGTCTGGTAAAAGCTTAAAATAAAGATTCCTTTGATGCGGAAACTAATATTCCCGTCGTTCTAATAGCAAGGCCTAATGTATTATAATGAGTTTTGAGCTTTTCACAGTTGTATTTTGTAAGATCATGTAGATGGGAAGTAATCTATTCCTAAGGCCCATGACAGGGTTAAATTACACTATCGATTTACGAGTTTTACACAGCTGTCTCAAGAACTTTATGCAGCAACTGCAACAATGGCATGGAGACAAACCTTAAATATGCATTTAAATGAAAGGGAGTTTTACGCTCGTAAAGTAATGGAGTTTATAATCCCCTTTATTGCAATTTCCCATGCAGCCGTTATATCTTTGAGCAATGAGCACCACTTTCAGAAAGCGAAAAGTCCTTATCAGTGGATGAATCGCAGTTTAGCACACAAATCGATCCTCGACGAGTTTTCATCTTTAGTGAACCTTCCAGAGAGAAATTATTACATCCTCCAAGTATCAGACAAATTGATCGTTTTCGTGCCATTGGCATTAATGTAAGGCGACAGATAAACAGTGACGTGACTACACCACCCCCTATCCTCAAGTATAGTCTCAAGTCTCTCTTTACACAGTCCTTTCTTCTTGTAAAAAGGTTTTTTGATTCTCCTGTAACTGTAAGTCCACATAAATCTCTCAACTCCAGTAGTAGAGGTGTCATTTCTGAATCTGACTTGCTGAGCACTCTTGAATGAGAAATACTTGAAAGATTCTCTGATAAGGGTGTAATTTCAAGCCAGACAAATAGCAATAAAAATTATTCAATCTCTGCCCCAAAATATATTTAATTCTAACTTTCAAAAGTCCAAAACTACCAACAACAATCAAAACTGATTATTTAACCCGATCAGGACCATGATCATATATGTGATTACGAGTTCC